TTCTACGCCCCTTTTCTTTTTTTTCCCCACTTCCACTATGGCTTCTCGACGACAAATGGCGCAGTATATATCAAGGTCACGTGTTCCATTGCTATGTCTGGACATGCAATGCACCCCTGTCTTCGCGGCAGCTAGGCCATCGCTGTTGCCGCCCCTATGGCAGCGCCGAGCATCGCAGCAGAAGCGATCGAGTTCGCATTCGCCCCTGGGTACGACGACGGATCCTCCTAGGAAGAAAGTGACCTTGGCAGGCCTCCGGTCGCTGTACAGAAAGGGGGAACCCATCACCGTCATGACCGCGCATGACTTCCCAAGCGCGCACGTCGCCGATGCAGCGGGGATGGATGTCGTGCTCGTCGGCGACAGTTTGGCCATGGTCGCACTGGGCATGTCAGACACCAGCGAGGTCACGGTCGAGGACATGCTGCTTCATTGTCGGTCGGTTGCGCGGGCCACTGGAGCTGCCTTCACAGTAACACCGCCCCTGACCTATCGAGAAGGATAATGATGCTGACGAGTTGCGAGGTCGGGGACCTCCCCATGGGATCGTATGAAGTCTCGCCAGAGCAGGCCCTGGAAACGGCCATACGATTCGTGAAGCAGGGCCGTGTCCAGAGCGTCAAGCTAGAAGGAGGGAAAGAAATGGCGCCGACCATCCGAAAAATAACGCAGGCTGGCATACCAGTCCTGGCGCACGTCGGACTCACGCCCCAGCGCCAGAACGCCCTCGGTGGATTCCGCGTCCAGGGAAAGACGTCGAAGAGCGCAATGAAAGTGCTCGAAGATGCGCTTGCCGTTCAGGAAGCCGGCTGCTTCGGCATGGTGTTGGAGGCGGTGCCGGCCGAGGTTGCGAGCATCATCACGAAGAAGCTCTCCGTCCCGACGATTGGTATCGGGGCGGGTAACGGGTGCTCCGGCCAGGTGCTCGTGCAGGTCGACATGTCGGGCTATTTCCCGCCCGGCCGCTTCATTCCAAAATTCGTGAAGCAGTACGGCAATGTTTGGGCCGAAAGCTTCCGGGCCATCGAGTCCTATCGAGAGGAGGTAAAGAGCCGCCAATATCCAGCACAAGAACATACCTATTCAGTTTCTAAAGAAGAGTTGGAAATTTTCGTAAAAGATGTCGAGAAGCTGTGACGCTGTTTCCGTCGTTCGGCCAGGCTTCGTGAGATACCAGATTACTAGAGGGTGCAAGGCATATTTTCATTTCATCATTCCTAATGTACTCGCATGATTAGGCGTAGAGAAGGCATACAAGTCGTGATGCAGCTCATCCGAAGGCAGGGGTAATAGAGTAGACAACAATCAACTGATCATTTGAATCCTTGAAGCACTATGAGGCGCGCGCATTAGCATTCCGCAAACAGTCGTAGCTTGAAAGATGTGTCGCACGCACCCTGTGCAGGTTGCCGACGATCTCGTCGAGGGCGGGGGCGAAGGCGCTGTTCACATAGAGGAACAAGCCGTCGGTCGGATTGAGGCGCAGGGCCTTGCGCAGGTGAGTGACGACGGCCTCGAACTTCTGCGGGGCGCTGATGCGCCGGACCTCGCGCTTGAGCTGCGGTGCGGACCCGACGGCCTTGAAGCGCACGAGGATCTTGTCCTGCTCGAACTCGCCCGCGCTGGCCAGCGCCGAGCTCGCGTCCTGGGGCAGCGCCGTGAGCACGGCCGACGCGGTCATCGTCAGTGGCAGCTCGGGCGATGCGGGCCGGTCCGGAATGGGCGAGGCCGGAGGCGACGGCGACGGGTGCTCGGGGACTTCTGGATACTCCATCTTGCTCTGTGTATTATCCTGCTTCTCCGTTGGATACACGGGACAGGGGCTGAGATGTCTAGTCTAGCAAGCGATGGTGTGTTCAGTAAATGAGGCAGGGCAGTTGCAGCAAACCGAAGCTACCTGTTCAGCTCTGCAATGCGCGCTCGTTTTAAGGTCGGATTACCCAAGCGAGTTAGGCACCATGCGTGGCTTACTAAGCTAGAGGCAATCTTCTCTTACCCCTCAACCTCAACCAGCACATGTCACACTCATCGTCTACCACACGTACCTGTAATACGGGCTACGACATATTCAATGTTCGATTTGAGACAGTGATTCGTCACTTGCAACAAGAACTGCGTTACATTGGTCATTCGTGACTCCCGGACAACTAGCAATTTAGGACCCGTCGCATTCGTTCCCTAACCGCCACCAGTAGGATCATATAGGACTACTCTTCGTCGTGACTTATTCCAGCTCGGCCTCGATCACGGATTCATAGTTGCGCGGATCCTTCCAGATCCCGTTAATCTTGAATCCCGCCTCGCGCATCAAACTTCTCCACATAGCCTCCGTTCTCTCCCTAGAGGACATAAACGCCATCATCGTCATGTCCATGCCAGCCTGCCAAATAGTTGCACTTGTGGGCGGAATCACAATTTCACAGATGAGGAGCTTCGAGTAACCCTTTTTCATTGCCGGGGCAAGATTCTTCAAGATCTGCATGGCGTCCGAATCTGGCCAGTCGTGGAACACCCCATGAAAGAAATATGCCCGACTCCCTATCATTTATCAGCAGCCGCATCACCGCTCAGTTACATGGCGAGAAATATGCAAATTTACCATGAACCGGCTGAGGCTTGAAGAAGTCATGGCCCATGACCTTGATCTTAGCTTTGTCAAGATTCACCCCCGAGACAACGTCCGGAAGGTCTTGGAGGATCAGGCAGCCGTCTGGAATGTTTGGGTGTTTATCAGAAACACTCAGGAGGTCGACGCCGCTGAGACCGCCTATATCGACAACCAAGGGCTTACCATCGGAGAGATCCGCCTCGTCGACGAGGGTCGTCGTGTCGTAGTACTCCGGCCATGGCATCTTATACTTCGTCCACTCGGTCATCCAACTAGCCCAACTCTTCTGGTACGCCTGATTTGTCAAGGGTCTCTCGAAGAGGGACATCTTCTCGGGATACGAGTCGTGATAGTTCGAGTACTTCGTATCCAGAGGTTCTCTGTACGATGTTTTGGCCAAGAATGATGGGAAATTTAGAGCGCCAGGGCCCCAGTGATCGTTCCTTTGACAAAGAGTTCAGTATCTCAACATAACCGGTCGGTGTCGGTACACGACTTACATACAGACCAGCGCCTGCGCTCTCGAGGTAGAGGTAGATTCGATGCCAATTGATAGTGAGAACCTTGTAGGTTTGTATCGGTCCTCTCCCGTCTCCTCGATGATGTTGGCAGATGCCAGGAGGCGAAGTAAACGGCCTAGCGACTGTTAACATCATGGTCATGAAGATTCCGAGATGGAACACATCCGATATACGTACTGACTATGTTCACGTCGCAGTCCTTTGCAGCTAGCTTAGTAATATCCTCGACCTGCCTTTCGCCTCCACCGGCTGCTGACCATCCGACCCAGAGACCAATGTCAATGAAGATCTTGACTGCTGAATATATGGGTGGATTCAAGAGGGTTATGATGGCAACTTTCTCCTCGTCCAGTTCCAATCGGCTGGTAAGTTTCTTTGCGCAGGCTATTAGCTGCAACCGTTCCTTCTCATGGCCGTCGAAGTCGGCAGCCTTCAAGGCTTCAAGACTCTCTAATATACGAGCACACGTATCCTCCATTTCTGAAAAAGATCGATGGAAAAAAACAGCCTGGAAAGGTAAGAATTGGAGTATGCATTTCTACTACCTCTGGCTAGATATATTCCGTTACCGTGCCGTCTAAATGCCGAAAGCGACATCTCTACCCTCCCGCATAATCCAATCATAATTATCGCGATGTCTTAGTGTAGTCATCCTGGCATATTCAGAACATGCGCTCCAAAAGCCACTGTCTTAAGAGCACCTTGAAACTACCAATGGCATCTCACACAGAGCCGTCCGTGAATAGGCCTTATCTATCGGAGCACTGATGCATCGCTTATTCTCACGAAACAATTAAGACATTCCAACCCTGCAGTAATCTTAGCCGCTTTGGACATCTTCTCACAGAAATCAGGGGCAACAGTACGCGAGCAAAGCAGTCAAATCAGGACGCGCATCGACTGCATGAGTCTCACGTGATGCAACAGAGAAACTCCCAGTCTACCGTGCTAAAGACTTGAATACCTAGGCTAGGCTAGGTAGGGATTCGTTTCATTTCCATGCATATGCACATTGGAGCCTTTATCAACAGCGGCAGCTGTAGAATATACTTACACTTAAGGATAGTGGATCAGCCTCGGACGAATAAAAAGGTAAGATGCTCACATCTATTTCGTCGTCAGCTGAAATTGGGATGCCGGTGACATTATTCACTACCTACCTAACTAGGTAGGTATTGTTAACCGTTCTCAGATGCAGCATATCCCCGACGGTATGTCAATTATCAACAAGAGATGGACGCTTAATAGTCGTTTTCAAGTACGTAAAGCAGGCTCGTTGGCGTTGCAAGAGGCTTTTCTAAGAGTCCCATGTCGGCCAGTCAACATTGCTACCAGCAGTTCTCTTCTGATAGCATGTGAAACTGGGATGATCATGTGGTACTTCTCGGGCTCATATATCTCGCCGCCACGATCGGTTTCTTGTCGACACACCCACGACGATATTCCGATCATTGGACGAGAACTTGCGTCGTATCACAGTAGGCAGTAAGCTTTGGTATCACAGCAGGCTGTGTCAGGTCAATTCAGTTTGGTCTCCTATTGGACGGTGCTTGCTTGGCAGCCGACCTTAGATACCTAACTAATAATAGTGAGCAAAGCCTTGTGGGCAGATCTTCTCTGGGGACACGGATAACGCGATACTATTGAGGTAATCCGGCTTCGTCCATGGGAGTCCAAAAACTTTTGAGAATGATCAAAAGACGGGCTCAACTAGAGATTGAGCCCAGGATGTCTCATATATAGGAAGTATCACCAGTGGATCATTGAGCTCTCTAATATAAAGGTTCGCTATTGCAATCCGAGTAGGCTGTGCGAGGCCGGCTTAATACAACGGCTACAATGTTGTATCTTGGAGAAAAGGGCAAAATGAACTCCGAATCGGGGAATCGAACCCCGGGCTTGGCGGATCATGTTAATAACTTGAGAGCGCCAAATGTTAGCCACTACACCAATTCGGACTCATCCTTACTTGCGTCGCTGATACCAAGAAAACGCAAGCTCCTTTTATATATTAACCTACCACCTAGGGTGCCGAGTACGTATTTTTGGATTGTCAAGGAAGGTCTAGATAAACGGTTCCAAGGTTGGAACTGCCTTTCGAAGTTTTAGTAATATCATTTGAGTGCCTTATTGTATGTCACCTAGTTCAGTAGCATGTATAAAATACCTAGACTAGGGAGATGTGTGTATGAGTGGAGTTGCTTCGCTGTTCAGGAGAAGGAAGGCAATCATCATTGCCTTTCTACCACAGCCCCATCTCACCATCTACCTCGCAGCCACAGTCACTATCCATGGATACACCTCCTAGGCCAATGCCTACTTTAGGCGAGTACCCTAGGTACCTATCTAGAGGTAGGTAGCTACTCAGACTCGAAAACCTCGAGTAAGAAGTAAATTGTCAAGCCGCTAGAAGGCATTCCCGGTCGCCACTGCTCTGTCACCGTTATTATAAGAAGGAAAGCAAACAAGCTCCTTAATCTTATATGCCGGAGGCACGCTTGTAGAAGCCAACTTGAAGGAGCATATGGAATGAAGCATGATTGAAGAGATCACTGGCATCAAATATGGCTCCGGTTACCTAGCCAAGCAGTAGCAGAGATGACCTAGGACGGTCATGATACATACCTAGGCCGCAGATAGAGAATCTGATCAGCAATATGTCTATTGCACACCCCTGTCATCATATTCAGTCATGTAAAGGTGACTTGCTTTTTCTGATTCCAGCTGTGATAATAAGTCAGGCCACATGGCAGGAACGACTGGTTTCTATGCTGGGAAATGGGTGCAAGAGCGTGAATGAAGTAACGCTCCTTCCCAAGAAATCACAGCCTATCCGTCTTTTCTATTCTCTAAAATTATCTACGCCAGCGTCTTGCATTCTTTTTTATTCCTTCAGAACTTGACTGCTTGCCAATATCCTCCACCAAGCATCAGTTTATCGTCACCGACCGAGAAGCATCGTCACCAACCGTCAAGCATCGTCACCGACCTACAAGTATCGTCACGTATCTTCACCATCGCCCCCTCTCTTTCAACCTTCTCGGAAGTATCACAATGTCTTCTAGCCCGAACAAGCCCGAGGGCGATCGCGCCGCGGCCGTGTGGGATCTCTCTCCGCGTGAGTGCGAGATCATTGCTAGAGCATGGTTGTGCATCACCGATGTCAAGGATGGCGCGCCTGTGGTAAGATTACGCCCATTATCAGCCCTATAGCTCCATTCAAGCCGTTATCCCCCCAAACCTCGCGCCCAGTCACTGATCCAATACTTCCGGCGTGGCACTGGAGATCTGAGTTACGGCTGCTATTATTCTCACTCCTTGGAGAGCTAGCTAACATATCTTTGTAGGTTGATTCTAAGAAGCTGGCCAAGCTTGGTGGCTATGCCAGTGCCGACTCAGCTCGGCATATGTGGAGGCCCATTCAAAACAAGCTCACTGCGATACTCCGAGCTAGCAACGCCAGAGAGATGGACGTCACTCCCCTTAAGGCTGCTCCCGCCAAGGCCGCTCCTGCCAAGAAGGGTCGCAAGCGCACGGGAAGCGCCGCTGACAGCGAGATTCCCGAGACCCCCGCCAAGAAGGCACGAAGAGGAACGCGGTTCCCGGGACTCTTCAAGGACAACGAGGATGGTGAAGATGCCAATCTAGATGAGGGCGAGGCTTAAACATGTCTACGGTAGCATACCTTATGGCACCGTTCTGCCATCTTTCTCTCTATTCTGCTTTGCTTTCTGTTTCTTTAGCAAGATTTCGGCTGAATTTATGAGTTTCTACATGAGGCAGCCAATCCAGAAGGGGCGTACATAATGGGAAGTTAGGAAGGGGCATACACGATGGGAAGCTAGGAAGGATATCAAGCTACTGGCCTTAGTTACCCTGAGACAATACTCTGCCACCCTGCTTAGTACCATGATAGGTAAAGAGGCTTATGAGCCGGGTTTGCATTGAATTCATCACGAGACGAAAAGCACTTCTCTTAACGTCTTCATGAAGGCACCGTGAAAAAGGCCGAGCGAGGGCATCGTCATGACGATGGTGAGGTCGAAGCCCTAACCTGCCCTCTTTTTTTCCTAAAACAAAATTACTCTTCTATCTGCAATGGATTTCTGCCTACAGCTCTTCTCTTCTCCCAACCACCTTCTTTCCACACTAATTCCTTCAAATATCCCCAACACCGAAGCCAAAAAGTATCACCATACTCACTACCCAAGGTATATATAATCTTCCTCCTACAATACTCACTTTGGCCATGGACCTTTTTCCAGCCTTTCCATTCTCAATGCCTTTATTCCAAATGAATCCTCCTAATCCTGGTATCGGCCAAAGGTAAAGACACCGTCGATAATCCATCCCATCCGACCACCCTTTGCCTTCTTCAACCTCCTCACCATCAACTCCTCGTTTGGTCGACTCCCGCTCCATCATTGTCTCGACGTCCAGGATCCTGGAAGGCGAATATTTCGTCAAGGATATCAATTGATCATTCACGAGTCACCAACCCCTGAGGGAACATGAGGTCACTATCAGGTAAGACGATGTTTTCCTTTTTTACGATCTCATCTAATAGGTGCGCCAAATCCACAGTCACTTCGGCTGTCTACAGCTATATCTCAGCTTAGATGCGAGAGGCAGCTTAGCCGGCTATACGCAAAATTTCTGCCCTCTACACTTGAAGGATAACCGCGACTCCCACTCATCCATCCGTCCGCCATCACCTCCCATCAACACCAAGTCATCCCTTGCACTAAGTTGCATTATCTTGAGAGATCGGTAACGATTTACACAATAATCGTTAAATGACTCCAAGAAGCTGGCCAAGCTTGGTGGCTATGCCAGTGCCGACTCAACTCGGCATATGTGGAGGCCCATTCAAAACAAGCTCACTGCGATACTCCGAGCCAGCAACGCCAGAGAGATGGACGTCACTCCCCTATATATATATATATATATATATATCTTCAAAATACATCTTCACCCCTGGACCGCAACATCCGTTTCGCGTCCGGGCTACGACAGTGCACACATCGCCCCCTCCCACACTACTCATCAGCGATACTCTCAAGAATCCAAGACCAGATTAAGGACAACAGCGGACTTCAATCTGCTAGAGTCCCGTGTGTCTCCAAGACTATGAGGGGAGACCCAAATAGGGAGTTGTTCATCTTGGGGGCGTTGTCGAAGCCAAGGAGACGTTCAAGACAAGTATGCCTCACGACCTCCCATAGACAACGTTACCCCCCTTCATCCTCTAACCCCTTCACTCTAGCCACCTGGACCGACAACGCAAGAGTGCGAACGCACACCAACGAACAAAAGCGACGCGTCACTCAATCAAGAAGACCGCGCTAAGACAACCTCCTTTGCATCGCACTCAAACCTCAACCTGTCGATGGGATCAGAACCCCCCGACAGTCCCGTCCGGGTCCCTTCTCACACGAGCTTCGACATCCCGACGATAAGAACCGCGACGATGGCGTGCTCACGCCGTCGGCTCGGGGCGGCTGCAACTGTCAGAGCGACTCACAAGAGCCTTTCGCTCAAGGCACGACGTTCCAAGGAGACGAAAGCGAGGGCCATGTCTTGAGCAAGGGGGAGATCTCTACGGTGGCGAGCCTACAGTCGCCCAAAACGCAGACGCCGAAAGCACGCCGCGAGGTCGACGGAGACGGTCAGCAACCCCCGTGTGAGCGGTCTGCGGCTGCCTGGCCAAAAACTCGACAGCCGCTCACGTTGGACGGGGCGGCCGCGAGAAAAGGAGAAGGCTGATGTCCGTCGTTCCGAGAATCCGGCAAGGGCAAGCAGCGGAAGGGCTGCGGTATATATATATAAACCATTCAACACAACTTGGCCCATCGAGGCCCACAGAGGCAGAGCAGATGGAGGAGCCAAGGGGGGGGGCGCGGGCGGCCGGTCAGTAACCGTAGAAGCGTGCCCCAATCACTGCCCCGCGCCGACCCCGACTTCACGTCGCTCCTGTCAAGCTCAAGCGACCCTTGGAGAGTGCCTGGGCTGCCACACCATTGTGCACGCACGTGGTGAGAGGGAAGCCCCCATCTCAGGATGTGCTGGGCACGCCCAACAAGTCCGAGAAGACTAAGAAGTCGGACGGGGAGTGGCGTACCTCTGGATGAAGAAAAACCACCGCGCATATCGAAGGGCGCAAGTCCAAAACGCCCCCACGGGGTTCGAGGTATATAGCTATACCTACGGGGGTGGCCCAGGTGCCGTCCAACGAAATACGGCGGTGCCTGTGGTGGACTCCAAGAGGGTTGGCCTGCCCGGAAAATCGAGTAGTCTCGTACAGGTTCACGATACCTTGTCCCCTCTCTAATACCTCCTTCTCAGGAGCACAGCACTCAACACTCACAACACTCAAGACCAATCGGATCACAATGTCTTCTAGCCCGACCCTCTCTCACTTCTCTCCCCATCTTCCCCATTTCACTTCTCTCCCTGCCTCCCCCCTTTCACCACTTGGGCATATGCTAAGGGAAGCAAATTAAGGACATAGGGGTGTTCTACGTGGTTTCGATTCGGCTCTCTGTGTTCAGCATCTGCCTGTCGATGGCGTTGAATGGTTGGGATATCAAATTTTGGGCCTGTCATGGACGTATGCTACCTTTGATAGGAGCTTCTTTAATGGGGGAGACTTTGGGTTTGCGTGGGCGTAGTACGCACACTGTGGCGAGTGCTGTCTTTTGGTGTACTATTACCTGTTGGAGGCTGTCAAGGATGCCACGAGCACAGGTATCAGGAAAGCTGGCACCGACGTTCGCTTGGTTGAACTCAGCAGCTACATTCATGAAGCCATGGAAAGTTACGAATGCGGAATCAACGGCACAACTTACCCGGTCAAGTCGACCTGAAATCTGACTGGACACACCATCTTACCATACAGCATCCACGGGACCAAAAGTGTTCCCATCGTCAAATCGTCAGACAACACGAAGATGGAGGA